TCCCACCGCTGCAGCCCCGGCAATTCGGTGGGGCCCGCCCGCGGACGTCACCGTCTAGCCCGCCTCCTCGAGGGTCCCGGGGCCCCGCAACTGGGGCTGTCCCGGGGGAAGTCGGTAGAGGCGGCGGGAGCTCGGCGGAGGGCGGGCCAGGTGACTGTCCCGGCCATGCCGAGGAAGAAGCCCTTCAGCGTGAAGCAGAAAAAGAAGCAGTTGCAGGACAAGAGGGAGCGGAAGAGAGGACTTCAAGATGGGGTACGCTCCAGCTCCAACAGCCGCAGCGGGAGCCGGGAGCGGCGGGAGGAGCAGACCCACACCTCGGACGCCGAGTCTGTGACCCGTCATATCCGCAGGCTCAACCGGCAGCCTTCTCAGGGGCTGGGTCCACGAGGCTACCACCCAAATCGATACCGGCTGCATTTGGAAGGCGACAGTCGGGAGGAGGTGGAGAGGAGAAAGAGAGCGGCGCGGGAACAAGTGTTACAGCCTGTCGGTGCTGAGGGGCTGGAGCTAGACATCCGGGAGGTCTATCAGCCTGGCTCAGTCCTGGACTTTCCCCGACGTCCTCCTTGGAGCTATGAGATGTCCAAGGAGCAAGTCATGAGCCAGGAGGAACGAAGCTTCCAGGAGTATCTTGGGAAGATTCATGGGGCTTACACCTCTGAGAAACTCAGCTACTTTGAGCACAATCTGGAGACATGGAGGCAGCTGTGGCGAGTGTTAGAGATGTCCGACATTGTCCTGCTTATCACTGATATCCGACATCCAGTTGTGAATTTCCCACCAGCGCTTTACGAGTACGTGACTGGAGAACTCGGGCTGGCGCTGGTGCTGGTCCTGAACAAGGTGGATCTGGCCCCGCCAGCTCTCGTGGTTGCCTGGAAAGATTATTTCCATCAACACTATCCCCAGCTCCATATCGTCCTTTTCAGCTCTTTCCCTCGGGACCCCCGTCCCCCACAGGACCCTAGCAGTGTCTTGAAGAAGAGTCGGAGGCGGGGAAGAGGATGGACTGGAGCCCTGGGACCAGAGCAGCTGCTGAGAACCTGTGAGGCCATCACTGTGGGGAAAGTGGACTTGAGCAGCTGGCGGGAGAAGATTGCTGGCAATGTGGCTGGAGCCACCTGGGGTGATGGCTCTGGGGAGGAGGAGGAGGAAGAGGAGGATGGGCCAGCAGTCGTGGTGGAACAGCAGATGGATTCAGCGATGGAGCCAACTGGCCCAACTCGGGAGCGCTACAAGGATGGGGTGGTGACCATCGGCTGTGTGGGTTTTCCCAATGTGGGCAAGTCCTCGCTCATCAACGGGCTGGTGGGGCGGAAGGTTGTGAGTGTCTCCAGAACCCCAGGTCATACTGGGTACTTTCAAACCTACTTTCTCACCCCCACCGTGAAGCTTTGTGATGGCCTTCTTTAAAATTGCTAGTCGAACTTATCTCAAGAAATCTGGCATCCCATGCCCTGCAGATGGCCAGAAAGAACTGTACTACCTTCCACTTCTATGTCCCTAAAGCAGGGGCTCAGAAACCTGGAGTGGGAATTCTTCCACCAGGACTCAGACGCTTGTATAAGAGACTAGCAAATAGAGGGGCTGCTGAGCAAAGAGTGATACTGAATCCCACGAAAAATACAAAGTCTTCATGAGGACCTTCCTCTATTAAATGTTCAAGTTGCACTGAAACCCTCTGGTGGTCTTCTATCTAGAAAGCAAGTTGAAGGGTTGGCCAGTGGGACCATTCATCATGGGTGATTACAATCCAAGAACCTATTGTCCCAGTTTTATTGTTGGTTGTACAATCAGCTCTGAACTGATTAATTCTATTGAGAGAGCTGAATATTCTACTTAATAAAAAAATATTTATAGAGAGAGCTGCCATTGAGCCCAAGATGGACCATCAGTTTTAATTATTATAAGGTATATGCTAATCTCAAAATAATACTAGACTTTATATGGCCTCTCTTTGATTTGGAAGAACCTGAAGAAGTTTGGAGGGTGACAAGGCATCATTTTAAGTATCAGTTGGGATAATTCAGAAGTCTGGACATAGCAGATAATAGAAATAATAAGGGGTGCTGAACAGAAGTGAGTTCCAAATAGAATGACCCCAAGCCGAGCTTCCTACAGCTACACATAAAAAGTTCTCATTTCACTTGTGGTATGTGCATCCTAAATTCTCAATATTATTGATATCTGGTCAACTCATTTTTGTATGTAGTCCATTTGTATTCTAAAAGCCCTTACATTTTATCTTGAGACAGCATCTGTAAACTGAAATGTTTGACCTCTATTTCATGCTCCCATCTTTAATCTGTTTCTGGCTTATTGGATGAGAGTTGCACCTGCCCAGGGACCTTTTGTGCAGATCTGCAGCTATTCAGGCAGTGTCACATCGAAGAAGGTTATTGCTGGATGTTCTTCCCTTCTTAAGATGATTTTCAAAGGGGAGCAGTGCTGCCAATACAGCCTGCTTCTGTTTACAGATCAAGAAGTCTAGCTTCAAGAGTTACTTTCCATGGAAGCAAGGAGCTTGTTGAGCTATTGGGAGCAAAGGCTTATTGCAAGCAAAGGCTTATCATGAGCAATATCTTTATTGCAAAGGCTTTATGGATGGCAATATTTTTATTTTTATAAACCCTGCATTTCTGAGTTTAGGTTAAAAGCTAACTTGTACTTAGTCTGTCCCGGGGAATGTAACTTGAAAATTTTCATATTCTGATTAGATTTTGTGGTAGTGTATGCAATGTTTGAAATATTTTTTAGAAGAGATCTTCATTGTCCATTTATTAACATACTGTAGACCAACATATTGACATGTTGCAAGAAAATTCTTCCTAGTTTAGTAAGCTAAAAATTTTATTTTTTATATTGAAAACTTAATCCCTATTTCAAGTTGTTTAAAATTAGCCTGCAGATAGTTTCCCTTACCTCTGTAGGCTTTTGGAAGGTAAATACACAATATTTACTAACAATAAAATAAATAAAATATCTTTTTTAAAATATATTTTTTTAAATTAAATCATAGCTGTGTACATTAATGCAATCATGGGGTACAGTGTGGTGTTTTCATATATAATTTGAAATATTTTCATCAAACTGGTTAAGTTAGCCTTCACGTCATTTTCTTAGTTATTGTGTTAAGACATTTATATTCTACTTTTAGAAAGATTCACTTGTACCCTTGTGAGATAAACCATAGAGGTGATCCCTTCAATCACCCTCCCTCTACCCATCCATCTCCCTCCCCTCCCCTCTCCCCATGTTCTTAAAAAAATAAAAAAATGTGAAGACTACTCGTATCAATATACAGATTTAAAGCTCTTATAAAAGAGACAAAATAAGTTTAATGTAAGTATTAGCTATTATTATCTGATATAAAAATTATATGTGTATACATGTATCTCTGGGAAAAGAAGACAACATCTTGTTTGTCATTTTTGGAGAGAGGCTAGGATATGGATAACCAGATAATTTGTATTATAACTTCTATCTTCCTTGGAGAACTCAACAGTAAAATTTGACATGTTACATATTCCTTATAGTAGACTCAACTCTTGCTGTTTTTCTTTCCAAAGAGAGTTCGGGGTAAAAGACATTAAGGACAAAAACATAAAGGGATGAAAAACTAATATAATGGGCACCAGAGTTAATGTAAAATGACAGAAGATGGAAATGAAAGAGAAGTTATTTATTTTATATGTGGAACCATTTCTGGTGGAAACTGATGGAGGGAGAATTCACTTATCACCACTCGTGAGGACAGCACCAAGTACAGCAAAAAGTACAAAAACATCCAGAGGAAAGCAATGTTCAGAAACACGTAGCATTACTGTGGTAGGTAAAATGCATCCAACATGGCAGGTTACAAGGAACACAGAGAAAGACCCAATAGCTGACCCCGTCAGAATTCAGGCACCAAGTGTTTCAGAGTATGAAATTCACAAGCGAGGCATGGAAGTTCCTGCCTGTAGTTTCAATTACTTGAGAAGCTGAGGTGGGAGGATTGCTTGAGCACAGGAGTTCAAGGCCAGCATGGGGAACATGAAATCTTATCTCTTAAAAGAGAAAAAGAGAGAGAGAGAGAGAGAATAAAGAAAAGAAACTCAGATTTCCAAACCAGTTGCAAGGACTCTGTAAACAGATTCCTTACTCAAATTGTTGGGTTTTGGGGTCAGGCTCTATAAATTTATTAGGCACAGTTATAGTTTAGTTTGTCTGACCCCTCCAAATTTCATGTCACAATTTGATCCTTAAAGTTAGAGGTGGAACCTGATAAGAGGTTGTTCCGGTCATGGGTGCAGATCCCCCATGAAAGGCTTGGTGCTGTCCTCCTAAGTGGTAATGAGTGAATTCTTCCTCTATAAGTTCCCACCAGAAATGGTTAAGGTTCTAAGAGCATGGCACCTCTTCTTGCTATCTTGCTTCCTCTCTGCTTCCCCAAAGAGTGGAAGCAGCCTGAGCCTTCATCAGATGCCCATTCTTCCAGCCAGCAGAACTGTGAGCCAAAGAAAGTTTGAGGCAAAAGTTTGTTACTCTTTACAAACTACCTTGCCTCGGGTATTCCTTTTAAGAACACAAAGGACTAAGGCAGGCACCAACTGTATACCAGGTTCTGTGTCATTTAAAATAATAGCCTTAATGCCATTTATTACCAAAGGTAGCTCAGTCTCTGCTCCTGACCACTTTTCTTACCATGGGGAATGAAAGGGAGTATGGGTCTCTAATTTTCCTGTAACCAAAGCCCTCCCATCACTCTACAATTTACATTGGAATTTCACTTTCACAGGTGGAAATTAAACGGAAAATGAAAAACTAAAGATCCACTCCAGAGACAGTTAGTAGTCCAACTGAACAACATGGATGATGATTTCAGACTCACCTTTAACCCCAAAGATGACATAAGAATGAGAAATGACACCTCTGTAGCAAAATTACAGAGACCTTTGGGGCTTTTGTCTTCCATAAAAAATATCACTCTAGAAATGACAGACTAGCTAAACCTACTCTTACATAAAGATGAAAATTTATAACAGGATTTACATTGGCATTAAGTCAACCTCCTAAAATCTACTTTTTGACAGCTTGGGTGAAGACATTCCTCCAGTAGTTTTCTTACTCAATTCCTTTAGCTTTCAGCTCCTCTTTGACACGTTTCAGGTAAGTAGGATCAGGGTAGCCAAAGCTGCAAAAGGAAAAAATTCCTTTAGTGTCACCACAAGTAGTTCCAATCGGTACAGAGATATTTGGTATTTGAGCATTTAATATTTAGTGTTACAAACATTCCCAGGAAATCCTCAAGATGGGTGACTTATAGTCTTTCTTACAAGTGCAGATGTGAGTCATTTAGTCAGTGAGTAAATCTAGATGTCTGGCCAGCATCTGCCTCTCAACAGGCCATTTCTTATTTTCTGCTTATTATAAGTAGTGACTCTCATAGACATATTATACTGTATTTTATGGGGACAGTATAATCATATGCTGGTAGGATTTTCAAATTTGAGGATTTGATAAGTCTCAGGATGTGTTTTTGTCTTTAATATCAAGGGCTAAGGTATTCTATTTGAGTTTCATAATGAAAATTGGGTTTCCTGTAACACAGCTTCCACGACTGGTCTCCTTACAACTAAGACTTTTCCTAAAATGCTATTGGCCAAGTGAGTTCATGTTCTCTGTGGATTGATGGGGGGAGAGGCGAGAAAAAAAAAAGGTGACCTAAAAGAAACCAATGTAAATAACATTCCCAGGATCTACCTTTCAAATACACATGAAGCCTCAAATGAAATTACCTTCTATACTATTCATCTTGCATTGCCATTTCATGCAAAATTTGGTAACCACATAAACTTTGTAGTTGGCAAAGTAGAAATTTATGGGGACCAGTCTTTCTGTCTTTGATGTTACCATCCCTGATTAGCATCTCTCAAAATATTTTACTATACCCAGTACCACTATTATAAAGTCTCTTTATATCTGCATCTTGAAATTGCCACATTTTATAACCCTTACAATTCTCTTAGCAGCCCATTTCAAAAGACTCTCACTTTTCTGGTCCTCCAGATTGGGACGTTTTGTGGTGAATATCATTCCATGTGATGACATCTGAGACTCCCAGTGTGCGAGAGTACCCTATTGTGAAAATCAGTTTTTGGTCAAAGGCTCTTCGAAGCAGTCTCAGAACCTCTTTTCCTTCCTCATTATCAGGCAAATATGCAGTTCGCATTATCCCATAATACATCTTTCCTGGGTTTGGGTGCTCTTCCTGTATGAAAGCAAGAAAATGTCATGTGAAAATAGTTCCCTATTTAAATTGTACTATATGTACAAGTATGTTCATTTGTAGATAGAGAAAAGTATTGAAGTTTTGCCCATATTCCCAGTAATTCATATTTCTCCTTTTTCCTCCTGGATGCTAGGAATAGTATCCACCTTTCTTACTCCCCCTTCCAGAATCCTAAGGCAGAATCTCTACCCACCGTTTTTCTGCCTTAAGAAATAGACACAACAGATACTTAAGTAATAAGCAAACACAGTGACCTTACCATTATTCCAATCCTTGCATTTGACCATGGAAATAATTCCCTGGGTCCCTGGGAAATCCACTGGCTAAGAGTCAACAGGACAGACTCTTTTGCTCTGGTAATCACTAGGGTAGTGGAAAGAAACCCAGGGGCCTCCAAAACACTTACTGTTTGTATGCCTGCTTTCATAATATAAGTAATCACAATGGTGCCACAGGATTCATAGCCTGGAAGTGACTGTCTTGACCTAGTGATGTGCATGCTTCCATCTGGCTGATTTCCTTTCTGGATACCATATGAAGTCTGACATGTAGGGCAAATTGGCTTATATGACATGAATTTGTTGATACAAGCGGCATAGAATTCATGCTTTGGTAGTATTCGTTTATTCTTAATGGTGTCCATACAGATGACACAGGCATCCTTTTCCTTCTTGTGTACTTCTGAAGCCTCAGAACTCACAGACCCTTTGAATGAGAGGGAATCTGCTTTTGAATCATTACCATCAATGTCCATGGGTGTTTCGTGATCCTCCTTCAATTTCTCTCCAGTCAATGGAGACATTCTTCCTCCTTTTAAGATATACCGCTTTGGGCAGCACCTGTGGCTGAAACGAGTAGGGCACCGACTCCGGATCCTGGAGGTGGTGGGTTCAAACCCAGCCCCAGCTAAAAACTGCAAAAAAAAAAAAAAAAAAAAAGACATACCACTTTATCTTTGCTAGGTGTTTTGCTAGGGTACATTACTTGTATTATACCTACCTCCCACTGACAACTACCAGAAGAGATAGAGAGAAAAGAAGTCTATTTGTCAGCAACAAACATGATGAACTAAGGGAAATACAGTTTGAGACAGTAATGTGAGAAGAAAATGGTGAGAGAAAATACCTCTTCAAAGTATTTAAAGAAAGGAAGTGCTAACCCAGAATTCTATGCTCAATAAAATTTTCTTCAAAAAATGAAAAAGAAATAATAAAGACATTTTTGTATGAAAACTATGAGAATTTTTCATTACCAGATATATTGTAAAAACAACAACAACAACAACTAAATCCAGATGGAAAAGCATCCCAGATGGAAGCATGGATATAATGGAAAGGTTGAATAACAGTGGGAGAAAATGGCAAATATGTTGGTAAATATAAATAAATACTGTAAAAACAAGTTGAAATGTTTTGTAGGGTTTAAAATGTACACAGAACTAAAATACATGTTAAAAGTAGCACAACAGGAAGGAGATGGATAATTGGGGCTTACATTGTTCAAAGTCATTGTATTGTCTGAGAAATAGTAAATTAATTTACATTAGAGTTTAGTAAATCAAGGATGGCATGCTGTAATCTATAGGATTAGCAATGAAAGAATTGTAATAGAATGCGTACAACATTCTCTTGAGAGGTGAAATTGGAATAATAAGAATATGTAATGCAAAGAAGGAAGAAAAGGAGAAAGAACAAAGAATAGATATGATAAATAGAAAATTAAAATGAAAGCTATATATTTAAACCCAAATACACCAGTATACACAGCAAATAGATTAAGTACTCCAGTTTAAAAATGCAGTAGAACCTCTGTAAATTGAATACCTAAGGGACTGTAGCAAACTGGTCAGTCTATGCAGGTGGTCAACATAAGGAACTAGGCCAACTGTACTGATACATACGTGGTACATGTCCAGTCTATGAAAATTAGGTCAACTTAAAGGGGTGGTTAATGTAGGGAGGTGGTCAGTCATGGAGGTTCTACTGTAAATATTTGTCAGGGAGGATGAAGAGAACAAAACACAGGTATATGCTGCTGCCAATAAACACATCTTAAATCACAGTTATTAAAAGGGTAAAAGAAACAGAATGGAAGAAGATACACTGTAACATGCTAATAACCAAAAGAAAGCTGGCATAGCTATTTTAATGTAACCAATAATTTTGTTATCATATCTTTGACACAATTTTATGTAGACTGTAGGATAAAATAAGTTAATATGTGCTGTTATTAGAAACTGAAATTTCTATTTAACAGGAAATGATACACAAATATAAGATATTAAGAAAAAAATCTACAATATTAAGCTTTAATTGAAAATATGATGTAGAGGATGCCAAGAGCCAGATGACCTCTGAGCAAGATGATTTACAGCTGGGGGGGTGGGCCCTCGGGCCATTCATCCACAAGTGCTCCTTGTGGTGAAAGAGCCCGAGCCTTCAGCACATAGTCATTGTTAATTACTCCCCTCACCTGTGTTGTATGGTCTCAATAAAAGGCTAGTGTGGAGGTTGCTTGGGGTTACCCTGAAAAGAATGGCTAGCCCACCTCCTATAAGCTTGTACTTTTAATCTGCGTCACGCCTGGTTCCTTCCTGTGGTCATCGAGACCAGGGCCATAGGGGACTGAGGGGTTGCAACATTTTGGCATAGTTGGCAGGATACGGCAGGACACAGCAGGACACAACAGGACACCAGGGGCGTGGACCAAAGGGGAAAGTGACACTCCAAAGTAAGCGAAGCCTTTGGTAGACAGACAGTGGGGGGAGGTCCAAAGGGAAACTCTGCTCAGGGCAAGTGGGACCTTTGGCCAAACTAGAAGCTAGGGAACCTTGCACGAAATAAGTGATGTGTTTTTATCAGCTGGGTCAGAATCAGGACCCACTGGTAAATGAAAGAATTTAAAACAGTGTATTTAATATTTTCTTTTCAAATTATTCTCGGAAAAACAGTATAATTCAATTCTATGTCATAGGAGCACTCTGCCAGCTTGGTTAGACCTGTGGTGCCTCAGCATAAAACTGAGGAAATTAAACCAGACCAATGGATGAGGATGGAGAATAATTAGATTAAGAGTTAAACCACCTTTGTGCTAGGGAGCTCCATTTGAAAAAAGAGTCTGGAATCAAATTACTAAAAATTCCTCTGGAAAAGTAGTTTAAAGCAGGAAAAACTCCAGTACTGAGGAACTGTGAAGGTTGGGACCACTGAAGGACTGCAAGTAACAGAGCCTTTGAGAGGAACTGTGAAGTGCGGAACCATTAGGCCAGTAACAGTCTTTTGAGATCTGTGAAGGATGGGTTTAGGGCTGCGAGTACCAAAACCTTTGGAATAGCGACAGAAAAATCCTTGCTTGCAAAGATTGCAAGGAAAGTGTTATTTTTATTTGTCCATTAAGTAAATATGAAAGGAAAGTTTGTACAGTTAAAGAAATGGTAAATTCTCTCAGCTGAGATTTTCTGTTTTCTCAACTTAAAAAGACCTTTGAGGGAATTGGCATTACAATCATGTTTTTTCCCTAGCAGCAGCTAATAGTTTAAATCTGTTTTGGGCTTCATCATTTAAAGAACCCATACTTGGAATTCTGAACTTTGACAATTGCCATATTTGTCTAGCAAAAAAAAGGGATAGATAACAGGAAGAACTGCCCTTACCACATTAAAAATTATTTTATTTGTATATAAAAAGGAGAGGAAAGGTAGCAGCCCATATAGCTTAATAGTCCTAAGTATATGCTCACTAGAGCTCTTTTCAGTTTCAATTTTCTGAATCTTAGCAATGGCAAAAAGACAGCTGCAGAATGCCATTGGACATCTCTCATTCATTCACCATCCTCTCCAATACAACAACCTATTTTTTATAAAAAACCTGACACGTCAGAGTGGAAGCCTGGTTATGTACTGCAACGGGGTCGAGCTTTTGCCCATATTATTACAGAACATCAAGAGAAGCAGTGGTTACCAGCTGGATTAAGCCTCGACATGAGCAGGAAACCTTGCCAGCACTCTAACAAATTTGTTTTCACTAACTTTCCTTTTATTCACAGGACCATAGCCTAGGTAATTTCATAATAGAGAAACCCTAGGTCAATCTCCTCTGTGGGAACTCTAGCTGCCTCTCCCATATCACCATCCATTACAGCAGGAAGCAGTTAAAAGCAGTCAGCGCCCTTATTCCCTAAGAGGCACTTGGAGCTTGTATACATAGTGGGAAGATTGATACAGGATTTCATTATTTTGGGCTGTATATAAAGCCCCAGGTCAGCTTACTATGCATCTTCTAAACCTTTGAAGGTTATGACAACAAAGACCTCAAACAGCAGGCTTTGAGGTAACAGTAATACTGGTATCAGCCAAGGTAAGAGAATTTCACTTGTTGGATTTATATCTGTTTCAGCTGGACCCCTGATCTTTACTTAAAGTTATACTGCTCTTTGGAAAGTGTCTGAGTTTGGCACAGCCCTTTCCCCACCTAACATAACTTTGGGTGGTGCTTAATACTTCCAATGGAAGCGTCATGGGCCCTATAGGTCAACGTGTAGCACATAGTTGGGTGGTGATTAGCACAAAGGGGACAGGTTTTCCCCTATGCCTAGTTTGGTTAAATTAGTTCCCTTTATAACCAGATTAGCTCTGTTGGTGTATTTCTGTTATACTTATATGCACTTTTGTTTCTTTTACTTAGCAGAAAAGAAAGCTCCTTGGTGAGGAGAATGGCTGAAATAACCAGTAGCAGATTTTCTCCCTTGCCTATCCAGAAATGTCTTTAATACACTAGAAGGGGGAAATGTAGAGGACACCAAGGGCCAGATGACCTCTGAGCAAGATGACTTACAGCTGGGGGGTGAACCCTCGGGCCATTTGTCCACCGGTGCTCCTTGTGGAGAAAGAGCCCGAGCCTTCAGCACGTAGTCATTGTTAATTACTCCCCTCCCCTGTGTTGTACGGTCTCAATAAAAGGCTAGTGCGGATGTTGCTCGGGGCGACCCTACAAAGAAGGGCTAGCCCACCTTCTACAAGCTTATACTTTTAATCCATGTCATGCCTGGTTCCTTCCTGTGGTGATCGAGACCAGGGCCATAGGGGCCTGAAGGGTTGTGACAATATGAATATGAGTTCATGATTTTCATAGCATAAAAGATGTTGCAAGTGACAATACCTCAGTGGCAGTGAGCACATTCAGCATATAACTCTAGGTTTCTTACTACAATCCCCACTAAAATAATTCAAGGATTCTTCTAGAAATGTCTAATTCCAGACATGGGACAAGGAAAGTGAGGAAATGCTCAAAGATTAATAGAGTCACTACAAGGGCCTGATTATCCTATAAGAATACTTGTCAGTAGTTAATTATTTGTCTCATTTGTGCTTAGAAGCAATGAAAGCTTCTTCCCTTCCCTCTGTGAGAAGTTGTGATGTTGGAACACATCACATCTTGGGGAAGAGGCTCCAGTCACCAGGGCTGTGTAGTATTCTCCATGTTGGGAGCACTGCTATAGTGTTAAGAATACGGGAATTCTCAAAAAAGGACTTTAAATTTTAACAAATGTCATTTAGTAACCCCTATGTAAATGAAGATGTTCCTTGTTTGGGCCATCAGTGGCTAATAAGTTCTTGTGGTTTATAGAAAGTAATTAGAGGAGAAAAGAAAAATAAATCTTTTGTTCTGTTTTAAAAAGATTAATAGAATTATCAAAATTCATGGGAGTCAACTTCCTCCAGCCAAAGATAGCATAAATTATGCATCCCAATGCACAGTTGGGATGTTATTCCAACTGCCTATAATGGAATGATCACTGTAATTAAGTATAACACACTGAATATTTTTTAAAGTAGGCAGGAAGGATGGCAGCTGAGTAGCAGCTTCTGTGTAACCAGGCTCAGTGAGAGTGGGGAGAGACGAATCCAGGCATCTC